AAAGCAAAAACACAGATTGTCGGATATCTCGACTTTATGCGATTTTTGAACCACACACAGTTTGAGCTAGCTCAATCTGTGTTTTTCGAAGCAAAAAAAACCCGCCCGGGAAAAAACAACAATAATTGAAGGCTTGAAGACCTCGTGTCATTAATGTGAAAAAAGAAACACAATATCTCATAAAGAAAACTCATTGGATCACTTGATAAATGTTTGTTTATTCAGAAGTACTTATAGACGTTGAATAAAATATAAAATCAAGATATTTACATAATGAAAAAATATATAAAATTAACTGCAGTTACGTGATATAAACAGCTCCAATATGATTGGCCAAAAATAGAGTTCCTTTGGAAGGGAAAGAAGAAAAGGAGGGGCATAGAACGGATACTCCCATCAGAGTGAGAAAAGTACATTACTATGCGCTGTGGGCATTGAATGGCTGACTTCCTTGAAGAAATTAAATAATATAGTACATTATGTATGCACTAGCTTAGGATTAGCTATCTCTCTTCGTTATTTCAGTCCTCGGTTCTAGAGTATTCTATTTCTGAAACTTCATTTGTCCATCTTCAATGTTTGCATTGTTCGTTTTTTTGCCTTTATTCTTAAAGACAGTGTTAATCACCCTTCAGCAGTCCCTAGTACAGGAACATATCGAAGTCTTTATCCATAACTGTTCTCACCAAATATGACATTTTTTCTTAGGATTCATAGGCGATCCAACAGGGCAGTTGAACGTTTTAGCGAACTCCAAGGAATTCATCAATGTTCCATTTACTCTGAAAAACAAAGAACAAGAATTGAAATCTATCCATAGACAAAATACGACAAGATGTATTTRATTTACCTCCAGGGTAGGGGTGCGTAAACGTTATGTCTCATCAGRATKASAGAACGCAGTCGATCAATGTGACCACACCAATTCTACAAACCAATAGTATGTATCGTTAGACGAATGAATCCTTGTCTATCACAGTGTTGCTTAGAATAGGACTTGCTTTGTTAGAGACATTTGTTAGACGGATGAATCCTTGTCTATCACAGTGTTGCTTAGAATAGGATTTGCTTTGTTAGAGAAAGGAAAATAAGAGTAAGGAAATTGGAAAGGACAGAAGGTAAAAAAGGAGTAAAAAATAAGGAAGGAGGAATTAGTGATTACTTACTCGAGCAAAAGCTATAAAAAATACTTGGTCATTGGTGAGCATCATTCCCGGCAGCCTCGGTTCTTCTCCATGTACCTGGACCCAATTCCTGTATGCCTATAAAACCCGATGAAACAGATACAACGTCACTAAACAATGTTCAGTGTATGGRCCCAAAAAGATCAGTTCCTGCTAACCTGAAAAGCCTGTTTCAAACCGCCGTTATCTGCCATGTTTTCAGAAAGTGTAATTTTGCCATTCATCTAGTTAAATCACCGACAATCATTAATATCATTTTAAAATTGAAACAAATAGAAACAAATAGAAACCAAAGAGAACAAATAAATAGGGCGTGGTCAGGAATTAGACACCCAAGTAGTCTCCRTAGGCATTAGAAAGAGCTATATACTAACCTTATAACCATAAAAGGTATAGTTGGAGTATTGATCGATCAGGCATTGTGATTTGTTATGGAAATTAGCCAAGGAATAGTCAGTCCACCATTTTACTAATTCACCATTCTTGTTGAAGTTATTTCCTGGATAAAATGATAAAAGAATGTCACCGGCTTCATTTCTCTTTAAAAAAAAATGTAAGCCATTGTTCTACGCGTTATGAATAAAACTCTGCTAACCTGTGTCATCGAAACCATGGGTAACTTCATGAGCCATGATTGTACCAATGCCACCATAGTTGACTGCCCTAATATAGACATATAACTCCTTTAAAGTAATAAATTACATTATCTGACTAGGCARACTAAGTTGGATAATACTGAGGTGAATGCAAAGATAGTGCTKCTTTACCTTGAAAACTTGAAATCATAAAATGGCGGTTGGAACATTCCGGCAGGAAAAACTGCAGATGAAAACAAACTATGACATTACAGCTCTAAGTACTGAACTGTTCGCTATTCATACAGCAATCATTAGATGATACRGTTTTCATTAAGCATGTCTGACAGCAACCAAAGGAACAGAAGCCCTTTCTACTCACCCATCTGGTTGAAGCTGTACGAGTAATAAGCATTAGTCGTCGCGGCAGGAAAAGGCCAACTAAACAAATCAAATCAACAGAAGTCTTATCAACTAAGTAAACGTTGTCGTGTTTGAATCCACAGAGTTTAGAAGCTGTCACAAAAGAGTACAAGGAATATTGCATCAAGATATTGCAAGGAATTTCGTAGAATTATAGTATGCTTTATTTCGTTATAGACCGTGTGGAGGCTATCCCTTTCCTCTTTCCTGCTTTAGTGGTCACGCAGGCCACGCAGGTCACGCAGGCCACGCAGGTCACGCAGGTCACGCAGGTCACGCAGGTAGGGGGCACAAGGGTTTCAATGGGGTGGTGCGGTGATTTCTGGTTAGGGTTAGGGTTAGATTTTTTTGTTTCAATCTATGTTCTACAAATAAGTATTGACTTTGGTATTCCTATGATGTTGATGTAACGTTACTATAGCTAGTGAATGCAGTAGGCCAAGGAATGCTCTATATGATAGCACAGCTACAGAAAACTTATTATATGGAGACTGCGGTCAAATCAATTCATACTTACTTGCCAAAAGCCACAGGGTCGATTATTTTCTTGAGACCTCGGTGAACAGCATTCTTTCTTAGACTCATTTCATTCATAAAGTACGTCTTTGGATTCATTTGGATCTAAACATAAAATATCCATACAAACAATTCGTTATTATTATAATGGAAAAACTGCGGACAGACAATAAGTACTTCAGAAATATTAATTAGACATCATATTATCATAATCATCATATTTACATCATTGATAAGTTCGTTGCTTACCCCTTTGTACATGGAATCTAGTAACTTGTCGTTCATGGTTCCGTCTGGGTAACCGACTTCTTCGACCAACACCTTGGCCTGCAACAGAAGCAACAGGGAATTCTCAGACAACCAATACACACCAAGCCAGATTAATGTAATATTTAAGTGGAATTGACAATTAAAAGGATGGAAGATAATGAAAAACTCGATATGGATAAAACTTGTCAACAACCGAGAAAAAAATCGAAAGCATATATACGATCGATAATCGAGATGAATCGAATCGATTAGGTGTAAGATGAGGGGAATCACAACCTTGTCTATTGCTGCCTCCTTTGTGACGTTATCCATCCAGTCAACTTTTCGAACGCTCTCGATAAAAGCCTTTCTTAGGTTTTCAGCGATTTCTCTTGCCTGATGATATAACAAGAAAGAGATTACTATTTTTTTACTCTACTGTGTTGTAAAACCATTTCTTGAAGCGCTTTCTTTCCTTTCACTCTCTTCCATTTCCTTTCATTTCCATCTTCATCACTTTCATTTTTATTGCCAGCTGCATGATTTTGCTTTATATTTCTCATGTCTTACTTTTCTTACCAGTTTTTTGCTGTTTTGATCGAATCGTTTGTCGGCGAATAATCGAGACATTGGTAGACTAAAGTGTGTATTCAGTTGATCCAGGCAAATGTTTTGTCGTGATTTGCTCTCGCTGTATTTGAATGCCCTTGTCAGGAAGTTTTTGTAGATGTTGATGTAGTCGTGACTCAGCTGATGATACTGTTTCTTAACCACACGCCACATCATGAAGTTAGACAGCAATCTAAAAATGGTTAATTACGAATGTCAATTTTTAATTATGATATAAATTCTTGTTATAGTAACTGATATTTGTTTTGTATCGATTTTGGATCAATACCATTCACTATGATTTAAGAAACTATATCAGTCAGTGAGATTAGCTCTAAATAGCTTTACATCCAAGATACACGTCACTGTACGTCACAAATTTGAAATTACGTCACTAATATATGGTGGTACCGTTTTGGTGTTCTTGCTATGATCTTGTTCAACTTTTGAAGATAGTCCAATACATAAACAACTACTTCTTCGTCTTCGCTGATGTTATACCGAGTATCAGCAAACACACCCCTTAAGAACTCCAGCCAGTTTATCTTCGACAAGAACAAGATAGGTAAAACATATTCCATCTACATATTTTCAGAGCTCTCAAGCTTTAAAGTTTTATGATTTGATTCTCACCTCGTTTCCAGTTTTCTTCTGAAGTTCCTTTATCGTAAGTTTGTTGTGTCTTGCTTTTAGATCTTGGTTTTTAGGAGGATAAATCTTAAAAAGGTGAAACATTTTAATGGCATGTAAGCTCATTATCTGTTCGGTTGTCTGTCGCATTCTATTTGTCTATTGGATTACCTTCGCTAATTCTTTCTCAAAATTAAACACTTCTTTCAGTTCTTTCATTGAATGTTCGTTGCCTCCCAACGCCCTGCTGAGGTTAAACATCATTTCCTTCAGTGCAGAACGCACCTGTATATCAAAAAGAGCGTCACTGATTATTGTATCAAATAGACATTCTCCATCGTATAGATGCCACGTAGAATTCATCATTTCTCAACAACACAATAAACTTTCATTTGTAAGATGCCATTAAGTCTGTCTTCAAGTCGCAAAGATTGCATTTAGAGTTCTTCTAGTGTGATGTAATGGGTAGGGTACTGTTGACGTGATAGGGACGTATTGTGGTGTGTATAAGATATACGTACACATGACGTACTTGTTTCTAGTGTGATGTAATGGGAGGATACTGGTGACGTGATAGGGGCGTATTGTGGTGTAACGTACATACTTGTTCATACACAGTACCATTGCTAAGAAAAGCAAACGCTGATAAACTCAAAAACGTTTGATCAATCTGAAAAAGGAACATGGTAAGAAATAATGCAAAAAAATCAAATTAAAAAGGAAATTAAAAAGGAGAGGACAGCACAGTTCAGTTCTTACATTAATGAGGTTTTTAGAGCTGTTCTTCATGTCAAGTTCTACATATACATTGATGAACGGCGAGGAATCTAGTTCTTTGTGAGCTTTGATTAAGGCTGATTGAAAATCCCAGGCCGACTCGTTCCATGTTTTGTCAATGACAGCCCACTTGCCATATTTCTTTAATAACTGCTTCAAAGGATTTCCCTTMAGTCTTTCGATCTCTGCTTCGTCCATGCAGGAATCGTAGTATTGGAAAGCTTTAACAAGCGCCTCATTCTGTATGGAAAAAGACCGAGTAGTTTGAATACAGTTTGAAGGAGATTAAGATACCTTTGACAGGGTTTGTCACAAATGACAATGATGGCAATGATGACAACCCACCCGAGAGTATGCTGCTCTTGTCGTTTTGTCTACAATAAGTTCTTTCATCAACATATTGTTCTTTCTTTTAAGCTTTTCAAACTGATCCCACCGATACATGTCAGGTCTGGGGGGGTTCTTCTCAGTCCATTTACCACACACGTATTGATAGAAATCATCGCATGGATTCACTTTAGGATCCAAAGTACTCAAAAGATCTGAAAAATGAAAATGAAATCAGGGAGTTTGTGACTGTTGGGAAACTGCGTGTGACAATTATCCTTACAGAAGGCGGTTTTTTTCGTTTCATTCACACGTAGAGTGAAGATCGGCTCCCGCTCAAATTCATTTCGATAGACTAAATGAGCGGTAGTTTTGAAATGCATAGAAAAGAATCCCCCCAAAACAGTATCTCACAAAATTCATGACTCACAAAATATCATTACTCATGTTTTTCCTCCCCTGCTCATATTCATGTACACCTTCCACTTAATGTTTGCTATTTCCCTTTAGATTGCTAATAAAGGAATAATAGTCTTTCTTTACTTCGATACTGTTTTGAGGATTTTTTCTATACATTTGAAAACTACTGCTTATTTAGTCAAAAAATGGAAGACTTCGAGGGGCTACCATTCATGCAGCCACTTCGTTTTTTAAAAGATGTCAACCAAGAAATACTTACGTAGCAACAAAGTTGCGGCAAAGCTCAACTTGACCACATACAAATATAATGACTGCACATATATATATATATACACTCCGTTTAGTTAGACGTGACAGTGAGCATACTTGAAATAATAGAAATACACAAATATATATGGAAACTGATATTGGACCGCCATTGATGTTGACAATAAGTAACAATTTAGATGTAGCTTTTTGGGCTTCAAAATTTCATTACGGGAAATTAGGAATTGTAGAAATAGTGTCCCATTATTCATAATATCACACGAAGAAAACTAAATGCTCAACATCGAAATCACTGAGTTAACGGGATTAGCAATATGATCCCTGGCTTCTCCATACTTGCACTATTTAATGCATGAAGTTTCATATCAATTTTCTACTATATTTCATTGTTAATTCATGGAATTCTAATGTCCGTTGAGATTGAAATGTACAAAGTTTACACAAACGTCTGTGTATCTAGACTAGAATTTGTTTGACTATCATCACGATGAGTGTCTGGTGGTCCGTCACGAACCCTTGTAGTACATGCATAACATGAGAAGCACGAACCAGGGGCATTAATAAGACTTATGATATTTTACGTGTTCGATGTGTTCTATGACCGGACGAATACATAATGAACACTATTAAAGTACAAATCAAAAAATAATCGATCAAGCGAATCGATATGACTTCAACACTAAAAGAACTATTACACTAATCGAAAATCAATTAATTACTCTGTAAAACGCTATTATTTCACGATTTTCAAAATCTACTAAGATGACTTACCAGCTGAAGTCTGAATACAATTCTTTGTCCAACAAGAATGAGTCGTGTATTTTGAGTGATTGACGTTTGGTGATCGGGTTGTGTTGGATTGAACAGTTCGTTTAAGTTTCTCGGTTAACATTCGTTCATTGAGGTATAAACACAGCAAAACAAGACAGATTACAAGCATGAGAGATAACATCAATATCAAAAACTTTTCTAACTTCGAGCATTGTCTCTTTGCCGCTGTGTCATCACTCTGTATGACCACTACAGACTTCGGACGTTTCCTTGGTTTGTAGCTCGATGAATCATTTGTTGCTAGCAAGCTTAGTCTGTTAGATTCTTGTGCTTCCATATTGTAAGTCTTCTTTGTTGTTGCAAASATAGAAGTCCAGCTCAGCGTGATGCAAAACACTGCAGAGATGGTTCGTTTACATATTGATATTCTTTAGAAAAGCCGCGTTTGTAGAACCAGAGTCGTTAAATCATCCTAGTCAACTCTCTTGGGAACAATTGTGAAATATCTCAACGTCAACAATGATATCGATAAAAATGCTTGTTCACTTGCGATCTTCAAACTTCCAAATCACCTCAAAATTTGTATGTAAATAAATAGACATGAACTAACTGTCAATGATCCAATAGAATGTCAGTAAAGTCCTTGGAAACTTAATTGAAGTCTTTGAAGAAGATTCAATCTGGTGGAAGAACGACTGATGACCTCTAAGAACACTAACCTGTTACGACCTCACGTAAAGTTAATGATTATCAATAAGCCATTGGTAGTTACGTAGAAACGTAACCAACTATGCGCATAGCTAATGACTATGTTACGTAATTGGTAACATGAGTCGATGTGGCTAATGCCATTTCGCTATCCTTTTGATACTCCAAGTAATTTTGTTAATTTAACTGTCTGCCAAAGTGTAAGTTAATTTTCTTTGGCACAAACAGAGACATAAACGCGTTAAGTCGCGCCGTACCCTACTAATGAGTATTCCACTCTTGTCCGTTCTGAGTCTATCCAATGAGTTTTGCTCTACTCTGCTCTGCTCTGCTCTGTTCTGTTTTGTTGTTGTTGTTTGTTTGTTTGTTTTTTTGTTATTGTTTGCCGGGGACTCAGTAAAACATGTCCCAAGCGGTCCCAAGTGTTGTTTTCGTATTTTAACATGTTTTCAGGAGTGCCAATTTCTGCGTCCATATGACTACGGGACAATAGGTTTATATCCTCGTACTGGATTGTCCTTGAATAAATAATAATGCTCCAACCGTCTCATCAAGTACGCAGGTTTGTCTCGTGATGAAGAAAAAAACAGTAACAACCAAGAAATCGTAGTAACAACTATTTTGTCGGAGTTGCAAATATTTGTTATCGCATTGGACTATCCAGAAAATTTTTACGTCGAAAAAAATTTTTGCTTCGATTCATTTATCTCGGTCCATGCTTTCCTCTATGAACGCGCGTAAATTTACCCTACGACGAGGGTAAGCCGAGTGCATGCCTTAACTAGTACTGCGGTAATTCCGATCATAGTGGATGACGTCAGTAGATTATTAACAACAGTGAACGGAACCCCACTGGTAAAAATGAGATATAAGACTGAACGAGACATCGCCAACATGTAATATACGACTCAAGCAAGCTGGCGAGATAGTACTGTAAGGATTGGTAACATGACTTTAAGATTCTTGATAGTCGTGGTGTTAGTATGGTCAGTTTGTGGTCAAGGAAACCAGTCCCTTAAAGTATGTAGAACGAAGGCTTGTAAACGCACGGCTAAAAGTAAGTGGTCTCTATGTGGTTTATATGGACTTTAAGTAATAGATAAAGACTTTTATTTGATCATAACCTTACTTGACTACTACTAAGTAAATGTCAGTGTGTAGGTATTATAAATGCGCTCACTATAATTAGAGATTTCTTTGATGACGATTTCTATAAATTCTTTTAAGAATTAAAAATACCGCGGATTTTATTCAATTCATGAATATTCTCAACACTCGATCCGCGATGTATTTGTTAACAAAGATCTTTCAATCTTGAAAAATGTGGTTTTGAATTCTATATTTAACAGGCACTTTAGTGACATACCAGATAAAAGAACAGCTTTTTTACAGTATTCAATGAGGTCAAAAAGAATCAAGATTCAACACTTCGTTTGGCTGTAAATGGGTCAAATTATGCAATGAAATGCTAACTAACTTACAATAGAAAATAGCAGCACACCAATACATATACAAAAGATGAAATAGAATCAGAGGCCGTTACGCTCAACAAAACCACACTGAAATTGTCGTCTACGGAAATCGCTATTCTCTTTGTCTTTTTAAATGTTACAACTTGAGTACCAAAGGGCACCAATGACTGGACGATGGCCGACCGCGCGTCTTATCTTCATTGCCCACTTTTGCAGTACTAATAGATACTATATAGATATGAATATCAGCTCACAGATCGACTAACGCCCGATCGATGTAAGTCATTCTCGTGAATTGACGACCAGGCCACTATAATGGGTCTCTACCAAATATACGTGGACATGCAAGACCCATGTTATCTTTTGCCTGAGGTCTGACAGCGGTCATAACCCCACATGTCAACAGAGGACTTCTGTTGGGATTCCTGTGGCGTCTGATATCTCTAATATGTCGTCAGCTTCACTATTTTTGACCAGATGTTTATGAGATGAAGCTCACCATCGTAGTAAACTACCAGCTATAGATATTGTAAGCCTAATCCAGTCTTTCCAGGATCATGTGTTTATAACCTGGATTTCTTTAAATCGGCTTAAAACTTGTTATTTTTAGTATTTTGATGTATTGTCTTTCTGTTTAATCATTGAGAAATACATCCATCTATCAGCACCTAGTACATTTCTTAAATTAGATATAGCAGTTTGAAAAAAATTTACGATATACAATTTGTTTATTCAGGCGTCTATATAAAAGATTATAACAGTATGCATCCGGACGATTAACTTTTGAGTTCAGTTATTCTTATACTCTTTCTTACAGAAAGCTACGAAATACCATTAAGAAGATCTAATAAAAACATACTACAAGCTAAGTGCGGTTCCTCTGAATCATATATAGTATTTGCGGAAACCTCTTTATACTGGCAATGTTCGGACTAAGGTTTTATTTACGTATATACCAGATATTCTCAGCTCTATGGATCAGGCAAACCTCTGTAAGCAGGCAATGTTGGGATTAAAAGGTTTTATTTACGTAATATATATTCCAGATATTCTTAGCTCTATGGATCAGACAGTCCAACCATGTGAAGACTTCTACCAGTATGCATGTGGTAAATGGATACGAAACAATCCAGCACAGGACGGCGAGATGTCCGTCGACCGCTACGAGAAACTAAGAGCAAGCAACGATGAATTTGTTAAGAACCTAATGGCAGATAGCCAATCAAGACACGAGTACAGTAAGGTACGTATGATAATATCTATATGAACAGTGCGCATGCGCGTGGAAGGACAGAAACTTTAAAGGTAGGTCAAAAAGATATTCAAAGATATTAAAGATATTCAATTTCTCTTCAGATCAAAGCCATAATCAAAGCCTTCGAATACTACGATTCGTGCATGAATGTCACTGTCATAGAAAACCGAGGCGTTCAGCCAATCAGAGCACTGCTTTCCAAATACAGTATATTAGTCGATAATTCATGGGACGAGACAAACTGGAACCTAGAAGACGTGGTTATTCGACTATTGGAGGACTTGGGTACAAAAGCCTTGTTTGAGATTAACGTGGAGCTTGGGATGAGAAACAATAGTTTCTACTTCATAAGTGTAAGTGGGATTCCTGTGTTAGATTCCTGTGTAATCCTATTAAATCAAAGATGATCCTTCTTTCTTTCTACCTTACTATACAACCGCAGCTCAAACAGCCATCGAAGTTCAATCTGCCTCGTGGAACACGAAAGGTATTACACATGAATTCCTCTTTTCTTCCGGGATGGCGGGCAATATCACTATATTTTATCTCTAGGCAAAGCGCGACTCTTTCTTCCAATTTATGGTGAACATAACTCAAGAACTTGGCACAGGAACAACTAAAGTGGACCTAAAAAAAGTTATTGGCTTTGAAAGAACACTTGCAAAGGTGATATCGGAAATTATTGGATGGTATACATAGAATGCGATATCTAACATTGATTGAAGATAACTTGAGTTATTGCATGGCATTCAACCAATTAGAATGCGATATCTTATATTATGGTGTTGTGATAGATTGCTCTTCCTGAATCTAACATGGATTACAGAAAAATGAAGATGTCAGAGCTGGAAAATGAGCTCGGCGTAGTCCCTGTAAGTAAAAAATAACTAGAGGAACCAATACAGTGTCTGCTAAATGAGCTCGGCGTAGTCCCTGTAAGTAAAAAATAACTACAGGAACCAATACAGTGTCAGCTAAATGAGCTCGGTGTAGTCCCTGTAAGTAAAAAATAACTAGAGGAACCAATACAGTGTCAGCTAAATGAGCTCAGTGTAGTCCCTGTAAGTAAAAAATAACTAGAGGAACCAATACAGCAGCTAAAAGTCCTACTCGCAACGATAACTTTTTACTTACACCATATCATTCACTCCTTACATAAGCAACAGATAAAAAGGATCATTTGTCTGTTAAGAATAACATGAATCATCTATTAACTAAAAATTAAAAAAGAAGAGCTATCGTTCGTAATATATACTACATGTGTATAATACATAGAGGCGTGCGCAGTGGTGTTGTCAGTAATATAAAGATGTACCTAATATAGAGGTACCCGTAACATACAACTGATGACGATTGTTTATGAAATGTTAATTGTCACTGTCGTTTCTATTTTTAGATCGATTGGATGTATGTTCTTCAAGAGGTCATACCATCAGGTTCAATAACGAACGATACTGTGATCATCATGAATGGACTGAGCTACTTTAAAAAACTTATGAAACTTCTTGATAATAAGATCACGAATGATAAGAGGTGAATCCAGTTTTGCACGCCGGTCGCATATATCATTTTAATTTTACCTTAATTTTTATCATGGATAACGAAAGCTTTTATTATCCATGTTTTTATCAATCCATATCTGCTAATTGAGATTAAATGACCGACACAGGAAACCCATCAAGAGTTAATGCTTGGTAATATCTTCTTCTTGTTCAGAACGTTGGCCAATTACATAATGTGGAAAGTTGTCTACAATCTTCACCTTAAGCTTGGACAGACTTTCTGGGATTTCCATGGAAACTACAAAAATGCCATTGGTGAAAATTGGTCCCAGGTCGACCGAGAAGACACTTGTATGGAAGAACTCACGAGCCTAAAGGGGTTTGCTTTACCGCTGACTCGAGTGTTCGTAGACAAGAAATTCAAAGGTGGAAACAAAAAGTGGGTAAGGAGAGGTGTGAGCACACCGTCGGGATGTCTTCGGGATGTCTTCGTCAAATTTAGTCGTAACAACATCGGCATACTGTCGCTGCTTAATCACCGGAGTTTATATATATTTTATACGTTTTTATTCAGATTCTGCGTGCAACAGAGAGGATTCGTAACATGTTCGTATCAAACCTTCAAGACAACACATGGATGGATGATGACACTTATACTAACGCTACAGCAAAGGTACTGCAATGCATTAGGGGGGATTTCTTGAAAGATACTTAAAGTGTTCACGTGATCATCTAGGCAAAGTCGTTAAAGGAAGTGATTGGATACCCTGATTTCATCATGGATAACACCGCATTGGATGCTGAATATAACGACGTAAGAATATAGTACATGTATCACGTGGTATAACTAATTCCTTATTAGGAATGGTTCATTCCTTTTCCATTTAGGTTGTCATTGACGAGACCAAATTTTTTGAGAATTACTTGTCRTTGGTTAAATTCTTGATAAAAAAGCAATATAGAATGGTYGGGAAACCACGCGATGATCTTGGGTAAGTAAGAATACATCGACTTATCCCGACTTCTAACGAGTACCTAAATATACCTACATCATTCGTACCTACATATATTCAAATAATAAAAGTTATTATCGACTGAAACCGAACAAACCATTTTGTTTAAGGTGGAGTATGTCACCATTGGAAATTAACGCGCAGTATGAAGATAGCTTTAATAGAATGGGTATGAAAGCCTGGCAATAGTAGTGTTCATGTATGAGTACATGTACTAGTTAATGTGCTTCTCTTCGAGTAGCCCGTGGTGATGGTAATTCATGTAAATACTTAACCTGCGTGGGATCCCTGTGCTAACTATGATCGTATTGTTTCCAGTTTTTCCTGTTGCTATCTTACAGCCTCCATTCTACAGCGGTGAATACAGCAGGTAAGACATACTMTATGTATATCAATAGGCGTATTTTTAAAACACCTAGCAGTGAAGGACCGCATTCTTTCTCAGTTAACCCCTATAATTTCTTCTCTGTTGACCATACAGTGCAGTGAACTTTGGAGGACTTGGCACAGTTATAGGTCATGAAATGACTCATGGATTCGACGATTCAGGTAAGTCTTGACGCTTTACCCATTCTGTCTAGTACGGCATATCCACCCTATCAGTCCCATGATACCTAAACGAATTGATGTGGTCGAATAGCTTTTTTCAATCCCGCCATCCATTTTGAATATACATCAAGGGTGAACTTCCCATATGATTGACCACGCCCTAGATTACAAGGAGCCCAACAAAGACGATGTTGATTATTTCACTTCAGGTAAGAATTATGATAAAATGGGTCGTCGAGATGACTGGTGGTCCAAGGTAACTTTGGATGAATTCAAAAAGAAATCAAAATGTCTTGTAAACCAATATTCTGGGTACACATTTCATCGACGGAACGTGAGTACCTATATCAGTGAACTGATCCATGTTATCAACACCTCCCTCATTTACTCACCCATCCCTGAGGTCCATCTATCATCACGCATCCATCTTCCATATATTCATTTATCCAGTATTAATCGTTAATCGACGCAGTACATATTCAATAACAAATCGGTCAGTCARTTCTTGTTTTTCTTTGGATAACATGGCACATTATTAGGTTAACGGACGAAAAAGTTTATCAGAAAACATTGCTGACAACGGCGGCATCAAGTTAGCATTATCAGCCTACAGGGACTGGGTACAAGAAAATGGCGACGAACCTGTTCTGCCAGGAACTAAGCTAACCAATGAGCAACTATTCTTCGTGAGCTTTGCTCAGGTATACCATTCATTCCAGGATAAATAACCATCGCCTTATCATCTGATTCTTTTATGTCACATTTCTTAGAATTGGTGTTCATCGTTCAGTAATGAAGGAATTAAGCAGGAATTGACCAGTAACTACAGTCCTTCCCCAGTAAGGTAAGATAACTCCTTTCACGTAGTGATGTAATATGGAAATGTTGGTATCTAATTATGCTGTTCTTGTTTACAGAGTGAATGGTTCTCTCAAGAACTTTAAGGACTTTGCAAGTGTATTCCAATGCAAGCCAGGTGCACCAATGAATCCAACCATCAAATGTGGATTGTGGTAAACTGAATGGAGTAGTTAACAGCAATGTACATAACTATTTAGCCATGACCAGGAAAAACAATTAACTACTGGCAAACAAAAAATCAGAGAAAGAAGCATTATCAACACATTATCAAATACAACAAAAACCAAGCGAACTCTAATTCCATTTCAGCAATCATTCAATAATTCGGTGGATATAGATACAGATATACTTTCAATAAACTCTCATGATCTGTTTTACGTTGTAGTAAATTGCATTTATAAATATGCTTGAATGCCAGGGCATAGAAACAATCTGGAGAAGGGACCCTTCAAATGACAGATTGATAGTTGCTTTTTTAACAACCATTTCACATTAACACCATTGTTTAAAAAGGTATTTACGTGACAGGAAATTGGGTTTGTAACATAGATTAGTACAAGTTTTAATAAAGAAAGATTATCTTTTGATTGCTGCCATTAGTGTGAGGAGCTTGTCTACAACTGAGATTAGATAACGCAAACTATTATAGCCCTAGGGACAGCCTGACATACCTATCGAGAATAAGCAGGGTTTATATAACAACTGCAATAGTCACACAACAGCAATGCGCACACTTCAGCAGCATTTCACCAAATGATTGGATGTTTCAAACATATTTCTAGCACGCGTAATAAGTCACGATGTAACATATTGTGTTGTTAATCAAAAGTCCTCTCCTCCAACACCTACCATACCTGAAAATGGATAAAGCATTTCACCTACCCATACTTGCGAGTAGAACACCTCTTCCTTCCCAACGATACCTTAAAGGAGAAACGAGCATCCGGCATACCCGACAAGATGAAAAAACACCTCCTCTCTACATAACATCTATTTCACCCCGACCTGCTCCCAGTCTGGCCTTGTAGCTCAGCTGGTAGAGCATCGGTGTACAAATCCGAAGGTCGTGGGTTCGAATCCCAGCGAGGTCGGAAATTAATTTTTCCGAATTTATTCCTAAGGGACTTCTCCCGGAATTGCCTCCTTCTAAGCACTATAACTTTCTTTCATTTCTATATCGTGTTTATCATAGTGCCATGCGGTCTTCATATTCATATCTTTACATTATTCTATTACCGCAACCTTAACATCTATTTCACCCCGACCTGCTCCCAGTCTGGCCTTGTAGCTCAGCTGGTAGAGCATCGGTGTACAAATCCGAAGGTCGTGGGTTCGAATCCCAGCGAGGTCGGAAATTAATTTTTCCGAATTTATTCCTAAGGGACTTCTCCCGGAATTGCCTCCTTCTAAGCACTATAACTTTCWTTCAWTTCTATATCRTGTTTATCATAGTGCCATGCGGTCTTCATATTCATTACTCTCTACATATTACTCCTTAGAAGAGGAAAGGGCTTTCTCCCCACCTGTACCTGAGATAGAGTACTTCTTCCCAACCAATATCTAAAAATAGAGGATACGGCACCTCTTCTGACCGCGTATCTGAGAGGATTTTCACCATTAATCTACATGAGCGAGGTATGCTTAGCAAAATGAATTATGGAAAGGTCGAGTACATCCTCCCGTGGCCTGGTGAGAGGAGCTCGATTTTGTCAGGAAATAAAATTGCCTTAGAGGTGAGGCCATCGTCCCAGTTGTGCGACAGTGTTGAGAGGTTATCAGCAAAATAATACCCTTCATAAGAACATTCGCTATAGAACATAGAATACGTAGGACTTTAATAGCCCTTGAGCCTGGCATTGATCATGAGCTGTATTTAGAACACTTCATCGTGTCTCTTAAAAAGTTCAGAAGGCAAAGACTTCAAGATGTTAAATGTGATTCTTCTAATTCTGTTTAATGTGGTTAATGGAAGGTACTGTCCTAAACACAGTCCGTCTGGGCCCGAAGACAGCAAGATAGAACACACTGAACGAGTCTGTTGGAGTAGCGATTGTGTGAACCTTGTATCAGGTAATGTGAAAGAAACGACTTGAAGTTCTCAATGATCTGATCATATTCACCCCTTCTGACACAGACAAAACAGCATACTATTACAACAACAGTCAAATACAGCCACGAATCATGCATATTACAGTTTTAGAAAAAGGTAACTGTTTAGATCTGGTTGATAATTTCATGTAAACATATAAAATGTACAACTTCCAATATTGTCTGACACACTTGATGGATCTATATGTAGCTATGGAACGCAACGCGATGACATAATAAAGACTGGCTTATCCACGATTACAATTTTCGACTTCTTTTTATAAAACTCTAAGATATTCATATTATGCATTTCACAAAGCTATTCAGCAAAATAGTGCACAACTCAATCAAATGCAAAAAAGGCATCAAATGCATGAAGAGCCTAGAAAGGACATTCTGCATGCACAAAATTAACTCTGACACTTGAATGAGAACTGGTTTACATTTCAGCGTRGAGTGGACGGGACAATGCWCGCATATAACCCATTGCCGGGACGATATTTAAGTGCAGTGCAGAATTCGAGAGACCCAATGCATGGCTGTTAACTAGGGTATTTCGAGTCAGGATAATCAGCCGGCCATTTTTAACTTTAACGTGGTTTTAGAAGGAAGTTAGTCCGGCGGTACGCTTTATTCAATGGCCATGAATCTTTTACAAGAATCAGACAGAGTTAGAGCCTGCCGGGACGTCAAAGCTTGATTTTATCTGTCATTGACTTCTCTCTATGACGTGCCGTCAAAACCACTTGAAATAGAAGCTCGTACAAAACTCCAGACATAAAAGTAAAAGGGCTCAAAATAAAACGGCACGTGTAATGTATATGAGAAGGAAGCCGATTGGTCGAGCACACGTTCAGTACGCGTGAGTTTGCCAAAGGATGAAAAAGCATTTTATTTGATATACAGACTGACATAGACATTCAAGGACACGTCGACCATATATAGCCAGCATCATATCCTAGTTTTACTAATGAGAACGTCTTTATAAAAGCTTCACGACGGGGGAGACTGGACAGCAAGTCGTTACCGCAGACCAGATATACACCATACACGCTTACGCCCTTGTTCACTCTCTTTTCTTCAGCAAACCTTCAAACTATCATCCGCTATAAGTTATRTAACAAAGAACTATTTTCAACTTATCAAATATTTCGATTCCAAATCCTTGTTTTTGAGGTTACTTAGTTGTCAATTAACGTATAAACATTGGTTAATTTTAAGATTTGTGAGTGCATATTTTGCAATAGTAAATCAAGAGGTTTGGAGATGTCATGATTGAAAATACTGTTTGATTCACAATTTACAGTTAATAATGACTTGGTGCAGGTGGTGCCATACGAACCACACAGTTTAGGCCAGGAATACTGTATCGTTAGGTTTACGATATAAAGAAAGACTATCAGCCGACAAAGTCAGCTAGGAAGGTGAAATTATAAATTTTACAAGTTGGCAGCTGTTTGAAGAGCTCGACCAATCTATAAATAAAATATCAACATTACTGACAACTTTTGACATGTGTGGTTTTCCTTAGTTTTCACTTCTACAAGACGCTGAGCAAATCAACAAATAATTAAAACCTAGTAGCGATAATTTGTTTTCTTTGTTTGTTTAAAAAATTTCAAAGTAAAAAACTAATTTAATTATTTCAAAGGATGTTTAATCACAAAGACTTGCAAACTGCTGGATGGGGTTTGGTTAAGACATCTTGTGATATTATTATTCTTGTCTCCGATTTTGTACATAAAAAAACGTGAGGATAATAAATCGATGTATCTTTATCAAAGAAGCTTTTGGTTAAAATGTATAGCACGCATTTAAACCTATGAAGTCCATGCTTTTCATGTTCACTTATCTGTAATAAAAAATGTAGTAACAATGCCAAAGAGATGAAAATGCTGGAAAAATTCCTGCAAAACATAAAACATGTTTTGAATTCTAATGATAGGTTAGAAATACGTTTTTTTGGAACATTATACAGTTTCAGGCTTGGTCAGACCTTGAAACCTATATACCGTGAACTTAAATTGATTTCTGTATATTGTGTTAGAAATAACTATGTTGATTGTTGGCAAGAGTTTCGGGGTGAGTGTAGTGCAGACATCTGTATTCAGAATGTAATATTTTCACGCAGCGCATTTAAACTATACATTGATAAACATGCTGCTTTAGCAAATTGATCTGTCAAAACCCCGTTTGTTTCTTTTAATACCGTAAATTAGATAACGCAAAACGTTTAACACGAAGTTCATTCATACCAAAGCATAACAATAGAACCACTGAAGGAATTCGCAATATTGACTTTTTAAAGCAAACTGAACCTGACTTGGAAACGACGTTAATATTTTATTACTTTTGCTGTCAACGATCTTTTCTTTTTCTGTCACTATCACCATTTTAAAATACATTTGAAATTACTAAAAAGTGCGGACAAGCAAAGGGGGTAAAAAGTAACAAAGTCAGGTGTGGTGGAATAATCGGTCTATTAGCCATGCGTTTAATCCACTGGAATAATAACGAGTCCTAAGTGTCTAAGCTCATTTGCAATCTCATTGGGTGCTGTGGGTTTTTCAAAACAAGAAAATTAAACCACAAGCAGAATATATTGGAGCAAACTGTGCTTAAGAACAGTCTTTTGTGGCACGAAGTCCAACATGGCGGATACGAAATGCAAAGAGCAGAGTAGTGGAGAAGCAGCTTTTATGCTCAATGAACACCAAACAGCAAACTCCCCTACCGTTGACACATCAAGAAGACGTCGATGCAATATTCTTTACGTTTTCCTCGTTGTATTTGTGCTGTTGTTTGTTTGCATGACAGCTTTGTACATCGTGGAAAGGCACAGGAAAAGAGGCAAACCAAGAGTTCAAGAAATGCAGCGTACTTCAATAAAATCCAATGTCTGTAAGACTGCAGATTGCTTTGAAACAGCCACAGGTCAGTGCGTCTAAACGTTTGTGAACAAACCCACTTTATAAGATACCTTACCATTGRGTGGTTCTCATAGCTGATTGAGGCGATAGAAATTAACGGTGATATAATTACAAGCAGCTCAAGGTAAACAGACGATTACAGAAATCACTTCAGGCAATCATGCATCAAATGTCGATTGTACATCTTTATCAGCTTGAGYATAATCCAGAATTTCTATTGAAATCCAATTAATACGACTAGACAATAAAATTGATCCACACTCGTATCATTTTATACTTGTGGTAAACTCTCATGTGAAACGAAACATCAACGTTATGAAAATATCATCGACACGACAAGGACATTTGTATAGCTTAAAGTAATTGAATATCAGAGTTGAGGATCTACAAAAATGATATTGTGCCGGTATGAATCCGACCATACGGTTTTTGTACAAAAGAACTAAAAGGTGGTATGATGTGGACGTATTTTAGCATAAATTAATCAAAAATATGGAAATTATATATTAGGACATAAAAATACACAGAAAAACCTCTAGATATAGAATATAGTGAGTGTTATGCTAACGATATTTAAGTATAGGAAATGCATAATGTATTTGTAAGCTAAAACACGTCTTTTCTATAGCAGTCTAGAATTGCAATACTTCGGTTCTTAATACTTAGTACTTAGTTTGATATCAATATATTGTGACGTCACACAGGCTTTAAGATATCAGTATCATATACCAGGTAATGTCAGACAGCATTATCACTGAATGCCGAGATGCACGAGCAATACATAGACGTTTGGATTGCGAGAAACACGAGAAACAGCGGTAGCAGGAAGCAGATTAATCGTGGATTAATGGATTGGAATGGATTGGTGAGTGGTGGATCAAAGGATGTTGGAGTGGTGATGGATGGCTGAACGACAKAAGAAAGGGTGGAGTCAAGTACTAATGGTCAATGGTAAAATATAAAGCAAACGACGTTCGCTRATCAAGAGATGTTAATGAGATTCAATTGTCTTYCACTACACCCTTGGGTCCGTACAATCCATAACTTACTTACAAAACTGATAACACGCAGCAAACATTGCAGTTGTCTATAGAGAGTTGTTCTTATTTCAAGATATTCAACCTGTCGCGCCTTCAATTGACCACAATCGATACTTTGAAACACGAAAAGCGGCAACATCACAGCAATGAAAGCTATGATTTCTTGATCACAGGGTTTTTTTTTTCTAACCACAACTTACGTCTAGACTACCATCAATTACACTAATAACATCACACATGTCGAAGATCAAATACACCCAAAAACAGAGGGCTTGAGACTATCAAATAAAAACAGCAACTATGACTATTTTGATTAGTAGAACTTTAGAGAAACATYGTAGTATAAAAACGAGCGACATTAAATTGCAACGTTTCGTTGTCATCCCGACAACATTTTCAAGCAGATTTAATTATGGATGTATAAATTTTAGATTTGTAAGCCACTTAATATCTTTTGTTTTCATTCACTATATAAGTTTTCTCAACATCCATAATTAAATCTGCTTGAAATGTTGTCGTTGTTGAAGTTTTTGTTGTCTTGGTTTTTAATAAAAGTCTTCAGAAATACCAGTTAAAATACAAGTACAAAAAACCGAGAACATGTGCTGAAAGAGGCCGGGCCGAGAGGGGACTGGGACTAAACAGTCCAATGTAAATGTCAATCAATCTTACAATAATACAACAGTCGTGATGACAACGAAACGTTGCAATTTATTGTCGCTCGTTTTTATACTACAACTATGACTATCGTTACAATATAATATAAGGCCGCCATCTTGAGTTCCACGTTTTCTGACAATGAAATTATGAAATGATTGGGTATGATACGACTTATTATTTATGATTATACTACCGATTGCGTTTACTTGCAGATATAATGAGCTCTATTGATCCTAAAAAAGATCCCTGTGAAAATTTCTATGAATACGCGTGTAACCGTTGGATTGAAAAGCATCCTGTCAAAAAAGACGAAATTAGCGTCGATCACTGGAGCGTACTAACCAAGAAAGTAGAAGACTTTATCACTAAAAAAATCAAAGATGATGATGTCAAAAAGAGATATGAAAATGTAAGTGCATAATTGACTTCAAAGGATATCACTATTCTTAAAATCCCAGTAGATGTGGGAATACAATAATCAAATAACCAATAAATTTATGCATACCTTGATCAACTTATTTTGCTTCTTACAATCACTGATTGGAGTTCAAGTGCATTTCTGACTGATTAGTCTTTAGCCATGATTATTACTTCATAGAAATTTATAACAGTGACAAAGCTGCCCTTTTATCAAAAACATTATGATCTTGGTAATAAATGGCTACAGACTCTCCAATGTGATGTTGAGATATTATTATTCTTGGTAATGAATGGCTATAGACTCCCCAATGTGATGTTGAGATATTATGTTTATTACCAGGTGTCAGCAGTGACCAAAGCATTTGGATTCTTCGACTCGTGTATGAATATAGTAGACAAAGTCCCACGGACAAACAATCCTTTAGCCGCTTTAATCAAGAAGTATCTGCCATGGCCAATCCTGGACACTAACTGGAATATGACCAGTACGCACATGAGTCGATTGCTTGGAAGAGTAATAAGAGATTTTGACTCTAGTCCATTTTTCAAAGTTATTGTCCAAACCGACCTCAGAAACAGCACAGTCAACATGATTACTGTAAGTTTATAAGCATTCGAGGACACGCCTCTTATTTACCACGTGTTATAACTCAACGTTGTCACTTGGAAAAACTGCTGAGTGTAGAGATGAAAAGTATTTTGGTTGTTTCCAGGTACAACAGACATTCCAGTGGGGACTATTTCCACATCAGCTGACAAGGAACTTTTCAAGCGCAATTAAGGTAACCTAGCCCCCTTTACCAGGCAACCTAGCCCCCTTTACCAGGCAACCTAAACCAATTTGCCAGATAACCTAACTTTTCAGTCGATTGCTCATTAATTTGGTTGCTACCAGTGGGTGCAAAACTATATAAAGAACATTGAAGTTCCTTTTTTTCACGTGACGTGCGGGCTACCTGTATCCCACGTGACCAGTGAAGATCAAACCTTTGTCTTTCAGAGCCAAGCAGTCTACAGGGACCTTATTCACAATGTCTCAGTGTTACTTGGAGCAAATAGCTCAGAACAACTAAAGAAAGATGTTTGGGAGATTTTTAACTTAGAAAAGAAACTAGCAAAGGTACGACAAACAAGGACGATTTACAGGCATGCCTAACTGCGCAAGTACAAGAAAACTAACTAAACCTTGATTCTAGTTAGGGAAAGGGTACGCAAGTTTTGACGAAGAACAATATTATGGCAAATACAAAATAAGAGAACTGCAAGACAGAACAAAAGGTGTAAAGGTAATGTGTATAAAGTTAGTCAACTAGCTTGATAGAGTCAATTTCGTATGCGTGGGAAACGTACGGTAGAAATTACCGCACGGTTACCGCACGGTTACCGCACAGTTACGGCACAGTTACCGGACCTGGCCTGCACAATTTTTATAGTATGATTACGGTTACAGTACAGTGCCGTTCGTTTCCCACTCATACGAAATTGACTCTAGTTAATACTTTACCTTCAGTTTACATGTTGTTTCTCCACCTAGTAGTCCTTACACGAAATTTAAGTATAAAACAATTTATTAATCAGTACATGAAGAAATCAAAATCAGTTTTTAATTGTTTTCTGTTGCAGATTGATTGGCTGGTTGTCTTCAATGAGATGCTTCGTGATACCAAACATCAAGTAACTGAAGACGATGAAGTAATTGTAACTGACATGGATGTTGTGGTGAAAATGATAAATAACTCGTTTGGATCTATGTCAGACAGGTAAATTCTCCTTCTTTATAAAATGATTGAAGTGCATTGTTTATGTTATTTTTACGCTCTCTTTTGCTCTCTCTTGTCCTATTTGCAAAAATAGTGAGTAGAGTACTCTAGAGCCCGAAGTTATTCTATCAATTAATYTGCATTAATCGTGTAGGGCTATTTTGAACTACATCGGTTGGCGGGTTATCATGSACMTTTACCAATACACCAGCCAACAACTCGATGATTTACGCATCAACTTTAGAATCAAAGGCTGGAACCTACTCGCTTTTGACAAAGAAGGCAATTGTAAACACAAGATGCAGGAACTCTTTGCTCTGGCATTATCGAGAATGTTCATAGACGAAAAATTCCCCAGAAAGAGCAAAGAGCTGGTAAGACTTTTAGTAAGGCTAAACTAATATGATAACAATTAATTATAATTATATGAAAAATTGTACTTACCTACTTTGAATAAACTTTCCGGTAAGGCTAAAGAACTGGCCGAGTCAATTCAAGACGTCTTTCAAGAAACTCTTCGTAACAGCGAATGGATGGACGATAAATCAAAAAAAGCTGCCATAGAAAAGGTATAACACTAGTTAGTCCTCACTTGTTGTACCAAAAGATCATTACACGTGGCTATTAATGCACCCCCCAAAAAAGATCCCCGGAAGTCTTGAAAAAGGGCGTGACTGACTGATTTTTAACCCCTAAGAGATTGCACAACAAATACTTTTCAAAATTAAATCAGTTCCAATGATAAAAACGCAGAGGAAAATCAATATCGATGTGCACTCTCTCTTCCTAAAAGACTGCTGAAAATGCAAATATCCAGAAACTCCAAATTGGCACCCTAAAAGATTTCCATTCACGAATTTCTACCCCTAACAGATCCAACGAGCATCCCTGGTACTTTTATAGGATATTTATGATGACTATTGAGTACAGCCTTTTGCACAAATTATGAGACATTTTTATATATACAAATATACCTAACCAAATATCAAAAACACCCAAGAAATTATGGGATACCGTCGCTGATATTTTGTCTGTAACAACCTGATGCTAGGCAATCATGACAAAATATAAAAGAGATATACCATAATTTCTGGGGTGTTTTTGATATTTGGTTAGGTATATTTATATATATAAAAATGTCTCATAATTTGTGCAAAAGGCTGTATGGTGCTAATAATGCTTCTTAAATGTTTCAGGCAGATGCAGTTATAGGGAACTATGGCTACCCTGATTTCATCAGGGATGATGCCAAATTTGATTCTAAGATGAAATTTGTAAGCAATTCTGGTTCTTTATAAAATGACTCATCATGACCTCATGATATACATTTTACAGATTGGCTAATAAATGACTTATTTATTCTTGCAGATCACTGTATCGAAAGATTCGTTTCTTGATACCATGACATCAGTCATAAACAACAATAAAAGAAATGAGTTGTCACAACTCGGTAAACCCGTGAACCGTGAAGAGTATGTATTAAGAATCATGGTGATTACAATGATAATGATGATATAAATATCAGTGATTTCTCGTTGTTAGATGGACGGAGTCACCACTTCTGGTAAATCCATACTACCTCCCAACCAGAAATTCTTTCAGTGAGTGACATTTTTTAGTATATCTTAACATATAAAGCTTGTATAGCAACTGTAAGATATTTTTATGATTGTTTTGCAGATTTCCCTGCTGCATTTCTACAACCACCATTTTATGATCCTAAATATTTAAGGTAAAGAAAATATCCACTATCAGTCAATAAATTGAATTTGTCAGTCAATGATGAGTCAACCAATCGATTACTAACTTAAGTCATTGTTTTGTCAAGGGCTGTCAGTTATGGTGGGGTTGGTGCAATTATCGCTCACGAACTTATCCATGGCTTCGACACCTCAGGTATGACCTTGTACAAACAATGCTTTGCATGAGAGAATTATGATTGTAAAGGACCACTGGTCTCCATGGTGAACTTATAATTAGTAAATTTGTATAATATTTCAGCGGAAAGCTCATTATTTAATGATTTTTGAAGGTAAAAATTTTGACAAGGATGGTAACAACATAAAATGGTGGACGGACTCGACTCTTGCTCTCTACAACAACAGAACAAGATGTTTAGTGGATCAATACAATGCATATACATTCAAGGGCTTCCCGGTATGACCATTATCATTGAGTATAGTATTAGCAAAATACTTCATTAATTTACAAGCATACATTCCGAAAGACTGTTTGCCTGATGGACGACTGACCATCTTCATCAATTCTGGAATGTTTTCTGCAGCTTATCGTCATTGTCCATGTTTTTTTACAAGGTCGATGGTCAAATGACGCTTGCTGAAAACATAGGAGATAACGTAGGACTAAGAGAATCGTTCAAAGTAAGTAGTAATATCCATGCTTGCACAGTAACTAATGGTGTTAAATGTGTTACATGTTTTTTGCAGGCATATCAAGAATGGTTGAAGAAAAATGGTGAAGAACCATCACTTCCTGGTATTTTCACCAACGAACAAATTTTCTTCCTCAGCTATGCCAGGGTAAGTCATTGCGAAAAAGAGAGAAATACCAGCATATTCCAGCGACTTGTTGGTATAACAATTGTGTTGTTGTGTTATAGAATTGGTGTAAATCTCTATCGCCTATAGCATATGAATCTGAAGTTTTTATGTCTGAGCATGCGCCATCTCCTCTCAGGTAATTTGAATGTACTAGTCATAATAGAGCCATATATTATATTATCGACAACATCGTAATCGTGGTATGTTTATTTCTCAAGGGTAAATGGACCTTTACAGAACTTTCCAGAATTCTCAACAGCGTTCAGCTGTCCTTCAGGTTCCAAAATGAATCCAGTGAAGAAATGTGCGACTTGGTAGTTATTGCATAATAGAAATTGGTTTGAAATGAGTAGTAGTTTTGACATTTAAGTTGGAGTAGATTAGATTTTACCTTTTGGGAACATTCTGCTGCACAGCGGTGATGAGAGCGCAAGCATGCGCGACAATTGAAGGCCACAAATAATTGATGGATTGCAACCTTCCTGTGGCTATACAGGCTCAGTCTCCAGCCGTCGGGATTTCGTGCGCCCGCGATACTCTCTCCCCTGACGGCTGGGCGCATGGGGTTCGAAACGTGTCGCGCATGTCCGTGACGTTTTTGTGTAATTAGCATATTATGACGTAACGGAAGTGAATTTTTCAGTGAACGGAAGTGAAATATCTGACAACAGCCGTAAAGGTTTTGCTACAAGGCGGGAAATTATGTGAAATGAAAACTTCGCGAAGTAGCGATATAATGTAATAGTTAGCGCTTTAAAAAAGAGAAAGGAATGGAAATTACCCCAAGTAAAACATGTGCAGGGTTTAATAATCCAAATGGATGNTTCTCTGTGTCGCTTGATGGCTGTTGTTGTTGCTGTTGATCTTGTTGTTGTTGTTGGTTCACTAGGCTTTTGACTGAGGAGTTAAACAGGACCATAGGGTATTGGAGTTTCCCGAAGATTTCTTTGAGACGATTTACTTCCTGCATGAAGTACGACCAGGACGAGGAGAGTCTGTAGGCTCTATGTAACATGGTCTTGAGTAGAGCTTTCTTGTATCTTATGTCCACGTGGCTTTTGAAGTGCAAGAGAAGGCCCTTATCTGTTGGTTTTCTGTAGACTTCTGTGTGTAGATCTGAGCCTTTCTTGGTTATGAGCATGGACCGAGAAAAGGAAGCTTGTGGTTTTGGGCTGGAGACTGAGCCTAGTGGCTATAGTGTACCCTATTTTAACATGATGAATCACTCAGCGATGCAACAGTTAATCACAGAAGGCCTAGCTTTAACTTTCATTGACGTCCTCAATTTTAAAAATGTGAAAATAGATTAAGTAATAAGATTTTACTGTGTAAATATTTAAGGAAAACATACTATTCCTATAACATGTTAATGAGTAATAAAACCAATATATATCTAGGCACGCATAAATCACATTTAGCTGATTGCTCATTTAACAAGCAAATGACTATTGAACAGAATTCAATCACCGAAATGGATGATGGGAAGCGTCATGTATGCTCTAAACCCTAGTTCATTCAGCTCTTGAAATAGATTACATACACAACCTACTTGTTGAGATGAGTAATTACACGTTAATTACAGGACGTATTCAAGCTGTATCAAAATAGCAAGATCAAAAGAGAACACGAATTTTTTTTCATTCAACTAAAACCCATTAATTCTTAATGTGAGTATACTTATTATTACTACGAGTGAATTTGTTCATCGAATAAACTACTTTCAATTCTACTTGTTTGTTTGTTATGGGAGGAATATGTTGATAAAATAGCGTTGGATAATGCGCAAGATTATAAGCGATTATATCACTGTTATTGAAAGAGATACCTTTGTTCATATAGGGAAGGGGGGGTGAGGATCGTGTGAGAAAGGAAAATTAAATAGATTGGGAGTTCAGGTATTACTAAAGAGGAGTAATGTAATAATGATAAAATAGGTTAATCTATTCAATAAAGCTTTAATCACTTGCAAAGCCCTCTTGACAAGGAACATTCTCAACAAATTGGCTGAGGTGGCATAGGGCAAATGGACATATTCACAAAAAATACCCTTACTTGCCTCTTTGGGATAATATGTTCAATTGTTGGATTGCAACATTTTTCTTTTCTCTACGCCTCGCAGTCGTATTAATTGGTAATAGGGATAAAAGACGGCATAGTAATAGTTAGACGTGCTGCAACGTTATAACAATCACGCAGACGTTTTATTTACCTGTCAGTTTCTTGACATAGTGATGTGAGCTGCAAAAGGAGATAACTGCAGAAAAATACGCGGGTCAATATCAATATCACTAATACTCCAACAGAACCTACCAACTGACCAATAAAATCACAGATTTTATCAGAGTCATCGATTCAATGAGAGGACTTTCGTGGCATTTCATGATAAACTGATACGGTTAATGAAGACGCTGAAAGAGACATTCTCAAGGGATATCAAGATCTCCATGTTAGTTAGTGCTGTTACCTAGCCCTTAGTCTTTTATAAACGCGAGCGAGTTGTACAACTCCATGCCATAAAGGAGTTTATAGTCAGCATGTGTTGTACTGCAAGCAACGCAGTCTGTAGTCTAGTTTTTCTTTTTTCATCGGCTGTGGTGACCTCAATACCTTGTCAAGTACCTVAACACGGAGATCCTGTTGTGCCAAAAGAGGGGAATCACAACCAACACGTATGCTGGGATCCACATTGTTTACGTCATACCACAGGTAAGGAACTTATATGTAACCAATAAGCCGATATTCTTTGCAAACTGAAACTATTAAACTATATGGTATATCTTGTGTTACCTGCCATGCATTGTACGACGAGATGAGGATGATTCTATGGTTCTTGTTATTTATTCGTCCTGTTTTGTTTCTGTTGAATTACGTAATATACGTTGTGTCATCACCTGTACTACCTACATAAGGAACCTAGCTACCCTAACACTAGTCTTAGTCAAAGCTAAGGCTTGTAAAGTAAAGCAGAATTGTTTTAAATCAGTCAGTCGCTACAATAAAATTCTGAGCTGTGACCTTGGGTACACGTGGATAATTCACGTGCCATTGCACTGACAGAAAAGCTAATCATTGTATCTTAACACATCCGATCCTTATCAAAAATGACAGTCTTGAGCTGATTACAGGAGTCCTGATGTTCTTACTGATATATACATAGTACCTGGAGTTTTTTTCTGATATGAGTAGTAAATTATCATGACATGCTGATTTAAGAGGAATGTAAGTTCCTGTTGRCATTCAGTTAATTGGCAAAAAATCCGAATTAAGATTCCCAGTCACGAATTTTTACCCCTAAGAGATCCGACGAGCATCCCCGGTACTTTTACCCCGGAGATCCCCCCRGGTGCAATGCTAATACGGGTCATCCACATGGCTAATCATTGTAACTGTAAACAGCATTTTACTAGGCAGTAACATTTACTTAACAAAGTTAGATCTTTCACCTTTTCATCGTCCGTTATGTACAACATCGCGGTTGACCACTTTCCACTGTTGACGAGCAACTAATCGTGATGTCGCAACAGCTAATACAACCACCCTGCGATTGGATGTGGAGGCCTGGTACTGAGAAGATAGTCATGTATAAAAACCATCAAGACGAATCGCCTGATTCTAGAATATTCGTAACGGCCTGTGGCCTGAACAATAGCCGTTATAATTCGCCACCACTTTTTCTACTTTTACAAGCATTTTTTGAATARAAATCTCTGCAAACTTTGGTCTWYTGTCGTTCAAATTAACAGTGAAACTTACCGAGCGAAAAGTACTGACATCACCACCTTTTCGTGTCCGAACCATCGATAATGCTTCTAAGACGTCTCTGACGTATTGCAGGTGTGGCCCTAATAAGGGCTATAACCATACATACATTGCTTAACGTATTTATTACACGGGTTACCGTTATGCAATAATCAGCAGACACACCAAGTGACAAACACATTGTCGCTGTCAACATACGATTATTGCACTCTTTACTTCCCTAGCGAAGTCTATCAAACYACAATACACAAGGACGACAAGGTCATCGAAGTAACCAGCAAACTCCTCTGTTCCATTGATAGTTGTGCGCGAAAAGATAAAATTCTCTGATGGCATACATGACCCCTCTCTAAGTTTGCTTTAGCTGTAGTTTAATATATAAATCCATCATGTAATGCCCCGAATACCGCATGATCAGTACTACATAAACACCTGTAAATAAAAAGAACCAGGAAAACAAAACTATTTGTTGATAAAAACTGGTAAGTGCCCCAGCTGTAATCATCCATAAGTCAATGAATAGTTCATTGTACGCGAGCCACACTAGTAAGTTATCAGACGCTCTTGTATTTGATCTGACAAAAAACTCTTCTAGTCGTCACACCAAATCAATTCCATCAGACGCGATTAATTTCAAAAACAATGATATGTCAAAACTCAGAAAAAGTGATGACCCATAGCGACCTAAAATTGAACGTGATGTATTACTGTGAATGCAGCCGATTGGACTTGGGGTACACCACAATACGGCTACTAGAAAACCATGCAAACCGACAACAATCAGAGCAAGACAAGAGAGGATTTATAGAAGGTTTGTTAGTTCAACTGACGTGAGATATGGATAGGTCATCTATGAGAAATGGTATCCAAAACAACAATAACAAAATGCTAATATTACAGAAAACTTCGCATAAGGCAACTTTAGTTCGCCTGCAACGACGAGAAAAACATTCGCATCTCTTGTGCACGTTTCTTGTGCTCTTCGTCGGACTCTTTCTGGTGATGACCACCATGTACGTCTTGGAAAAACGAAAACAACTCAAGCAGGCTGAGCAAACAAATTTAGTTATAAGCGAAGACCCTGTCTCTACTAATAAACCTGAAATAACTACTAGTTTCCCTACGAAACGACCTCGTTCACCATCGGTTTGCAAATCCATGGACTGTATTCTCACAATAACAGGTTAGTTTAACTAATGAAAAGTCACTAGAGATAAACGTTATACGTGGACATTTGCCCAGAGACGAGTAAATATGATGTACAAACAGCATCCACAGCCATCCGCAACGTTYAGTTATTATGGGTTTCCTCGGCGATTATGTTTCCTTCCAGTTTTTAAGGATAAGTATTGATATGCGAAGATATAACATATAACGATGCATTATTCCCGTTATTATTACGAATTAGTTGGCATATATAAYAATCATAGGTCAACATCTTTTCGGCCTCACTTTTGTTCTCCATGAAAGAGCACTTGTTTTCTAAAAGAGGTCACTCCTTCGAAAGGCAAAAGAGGAATATTAATGAAAACCAATGAGCATGATCGAGGCGTCCTTAATCTTGCTGCATTTGTTAATATATTGTTCGTGTCAAAATGTYCTAATTGCAGGGGTATATACTGTGGTTATATCGTGGTATTGCATGCTTAAACACCATCACAAGGTGCAATATAGATATAATGGAATATCAAGAACATTCTTAATCACAAATATTGTTACCATCCTCGAACCTTCAAAAACTGAATCACGGMGGGGTACAAACTGTATACGAACTACACAGCGCTGCTACTTTTGCACAATATGCAACGATAAATGATAGAGATTTGTTACCTCAAAACCCTCAGTGGTGAAGATTTCACAAGGCTWATCAATTATTTTTAATAGAATTAATCAAACTAATGATAACATGCATATAAARCGAATATTGCAGTTTATACACTCAATATCCAGTTTTCATCTTATCGACCGCAAGATATCATGGGTTTACGCAAAGTGACACCAACAGATGGTGCCTCTGTTCACGGAGTCTTGAGGTTATAAAGTCATAGGCGCTGAATTTGATTAAGTACATCAACAATTTAGAGACTTCGTGCCCTGCTTACATAAAAATGGAACAACTTCATTTTTTACAAGAAACTTTGAACAAGCGACAGTGGAATATTATTCCTTTGTTTATTATTTACTGGCCATGTTTTCCTGTGCCAGCCTTCCTGAGTATATTTTGCCCGACCATAAAATGAGTCATCTAAAGGAACTAAGCGGTCCTCACATCTATTTATCTATGGACCAAGCAATGATTGACTCAGTGATGGTCTTTCTATCTGATTGAACCATTCATTTCGCTTTATTTTCTCGTTTTAATAATTGTTTTGAGGCATTCCGACCGAGTGAAATTACAAAACATTTAATCGGAAAACAAATTCAAAAGAACAATTCCGTCACAAACAGATATCTGTGGTCACATCAAAAATGTACCGAAAGTATTTTTCTGTCTTTCAGGTCAGTTTTCCATCAATGGGTCAAATATAATATCTAATAGATCAATATTAAATATTATAAAATTTTTGATATATAACGCGCGCTCTGATTGGCTGACGACCGTGTTTATATCAGAGGACAGAGACACGGCTTACCGGCAAAATTTTCTTTTCGCTCGAAAAATTTTATAAAAGAAATATAAAACGGCCGCTTGTGTCTCTGTCCTCTGATATAAACACGGTGGGAGTTGAAAAACACTCGAGAAGCAAGAGAAACACTCGCTACGCTCGTGTTCCTAAGCTTGCTTTTCTCGTGTTTTTCGAACTCGCACCGTGTTTATATCAGAGGACAGAGACACGCGCGCCGTTTTATATTTCTTAAATAAAGGGCGTGTTCGCTTGTTGTTTTTATATTGTAATACATTGCTCCTTTTCATCCTTTAATAGTTTAATTACTAAAACTTGTTTCCATGTATTCGTTTGTAGATCTACTGAACAGCATTGACCCAAGAAAAAATCCGTGTCAAGACTTCTACGAGTATGCTTGTGGAGGGTGGATGAAGAAGCATAAAATACTTAAAGGGTATCCGTTTGTTGACGAATGGGTTCTTTCGCAGAAGAGAGTCACAGATTTCCTTAAAGAGTTTCTTATTAACAAGGAGCTACAGAGTCATTATAGCAATGTGAGTCGTTCATGAATCATCTTACACCTATTAGAAAAACGTCTTTTTGTAATCATTTCATCATATAATCATCACTATCACTAAATCGAGGTTATTTGTTACATATATAGTACCAGTCTTTCCTTTATAGTTTTCTATTGGTTCTTTGATCCTGTTAATATGATCTTCTGGAGTATTTCTCTTCATCTGTTTTTTATTATAATTCAGGTTACTGCTGTCGTGAAAGCCGTCAGTTTTTATGAAGCATGTATCAGTCTCCCAGAAAACGACCCAACTAAAGGAAAGACATTGATTGATCTCATCCACAAGTTTATCCCATGGCCAATGATTGATCCCAAATGGAACGAAACCAAGTTCAAGCTTGAGGTCCTACTGGCAAAACTGAGTCGAGAGATCAACGTAAACCCTTTTATCGACTCAAGTGTTCGCACTGATATGAAAAACAGCAGTCAGTTTCTTATTCATGTAAATGCACTTTAATACTGATTCTAATTAAGAGAGAACTAAAGATAAGGAAGCTTTGACTTGCCATGCACCAACATATTTTGAACATCTCGTATTGTCGAAATTAKYTATTTGCGAGTGTGGTGGAAATTTAGTAAAAAGTAATCCTGAAATATACTTTTTCATATATCTTTGTTATTTGTCGACTGCCYAACTTGCTGACGGAGTGTCTTATTTTCTTAGTTTATTTATTCGTTGAAGGTGCGAGAATTCTTGAGGAAAACTAATCATATCATTCATTGATTCATATCGTTATTTTCAGATAGGACAGTCATTTGAATTTGGCCTTTTTCTCGGACAATTTCGGTACAACAGCAGTTTCTCAATGAAGGTACTTGATCGTTGTTGTTGTTGTTGACTTTTGTTTTCAATGAAGGCTTTGTTTTAGTGTTTTTCAATCATTCGTTGATATTTTGTATTTAAGGGGCGTAAAGCGTATAAAGAACTTATTCATAAGATGGCAGTGTTTCTTGGAGCAAAGAACGATACACAGACGAGTAAATACGTAGAGGACATATATAAAGTAGAATTTGACATAGCAAATGTAAGAGAACTCACACATCCAGAGGGCGGACACACACACACCCCGCACTGTCCCCTCATATAGATAACTAGCTGTGCACACACACTATCAGTTTTATAAGCATAGAAATCCTGGATCCCCAATATGAAAACAGTGCAACAAAGCATGATTGTCCTCTAGTGTGATCAATCATTGTACAAAGKTTGAAGCATTTGAAATAAATAATAAAGTCTATTTGTTTACATGTCAGGCCGCGACAGGATACAAAGTTGTACAGAACGAGGAAAAGTACTATAACAAGATGACAATAGGCGAATTAATAAAACAGACAGAAGTAAGAACTTCGTGATGAAGAGCTTCCAAATGAACGATTTCAGCGGAATAGTTAATTCACGAGTCAGCAATCACTGGAAAAATCGCGCGCTTTAAAGGTTGTAAATTTGATGTTAATGTGATCGAAGTGTCCAAAATTCTGTAAATGTAATGGAAATCATTTACATCAAATTTAAAGAATTTTGGACACTTACATTTACATCAAATTTACAACCTTTAAAGCGCGCGATTTTTTCCAGTGGAATGTTCAAACTGCTTCTTGGTGTTTGCTTGCATTTCATTTTTTACCATTGTTTATTTCATAACTCAGCGTTCTTTGTACATTRCAGATAAACTGGTTGGCATATTTTAATGAGTTATTAAGCAAGACGCATTACCGTGTYGATTTGGAAACACAGATTATTGTATCAGATTTGCCTGGCATCAAGAAAATCATTAAAATTCTGAAGAGTCTGCSAAAACGGTGAGATATCGACAGAAACTCGTATTTCCATATCTTAACCCACACTCCCTGTCTGTCACCATGGCGCCATTGCTATATTCAACAAAAACCTCAATCATTGTGGTCAACATCAATCTCATTACCATTACCAGTGCATCCATCATGAAGTCACTACCTAACGCCCTTATTTATTACAYGGCAGAACACTCTTAAACTACCTGGGATGGAGGATAATTCGTAATGAGAACTTATACCAATACACCAGCAAAGAGGCRTACAAGATGAGGGAGAAATTCCGGCGTGGAGCATTTTCAGCCATTACGTTCGACTGGAAACGAGAATGCCGAGATCTACTTCAGAAGTTCTTTCCCATGGCTCTGGCGAGAGTCTTCGTGGATAAGCACTTCCATGGAGACGGCAAAAAGCTGGTAAAGATTTGTAAATGCCTTTAAGTTCTTCATTAGTTCTCATTAAGTTCTATTTGTGCATCACTCTGTTGAAAGGGTAAAAACAAAATACTTTTTGACCATATACCATTTTCCTGACAGGCAGAAGATATAGCTGCATCYATTAGYGCAGGCTTCCAGGAAACGTTGAGAAATAGTGAATGGATGGATTTCAAAACAAAAGCTGCTGCTATTGAGAAGGTATTACGACATGTACAAGCATACAGTAACAAAATCAGGTTAATAGCATGACAGTAAGTTGTTCTAATTCAGGTCAAAAACGTTTGGGGTAACTATGGATACCCGGAGTAYATCCTTGACGATAACGAACTTAACCAAGATTATAAACTTGTAAGTATAAACTAGAGTAAATTTAGCATTGTCATGTTGCGTGCCAACAGCTGATGGAGAGTGGCACTGAGTGTGCCTGGTCAATTATTATTTTGAAAGCCAAATGACCAGTTTAATGCATGTTTCAGATAAAGGTTTACAAAGATTCCATTTTTAAAACAATTATATCAACAATATCAGCAAAAAGAATGGAGGARCTTGAACAAATACAAAGAAGAGATGATAAGACAAGGTACAAACAATATAAATAGAAATTACAAAATGTGCAAATAAGAAATAACTATACTAAATTATCATTTTATCAGATGGTTAAAAGATCCGCTTGGTTTTAGTCCTTCCTATCTTCCAACAAGCAATGCAATGAGTGAGTATTGTTAACGTACCATCAATGCTTTCATCATAGTGTATTCAGATTTTTTATCTTTCTCGGGCAGATTTTCCAGCAGCATTTTTACAACCTCCTTTATATGATCAAAGGAATTTAAGGTAAACCTTTTCATCCTAAGACTATTCCTATACTAGCAATCCTTTAACGGTATCCTCGACCTGATCAGACTTCCATAATAGTGGCATGTAAGTCACATCCACCTCTAAACGAACCAAACCAGTAAAGAATTGAATAGTTCACCAACCCTATCCGAGAACAATTCAAATTTGCTGACCATAATGATATTTTATTAATAGGGCTGTCAGTTATGGAGGCGTWGGAGCTATTATCGGCCATGAATTAATGCATGCTTTTGATACTTTAGGTAGGACATCATTTGCAAACTCAACGTTTATAATGTAAAACAATTTTAGCACAAAACACAGAAATTGACTGATTGTTGATACTTGTTCACTTTGTTTGGCACGGATTGTATATTACACAGGAATCCTAAATTATCTTGTTCGCTCACTTATAAACTAAAACTCTTTCAGGTAAATCTTACGATAAAGATGGTAATTACAAGAACTGGTGGACTAATGTGACTCTAGCTTTGTATGAAAACAAGACGAAATGTTTTGTGAATCAGTACAACAGTTTTATGTACAAAGGAATACCGGTAAGAGCAAAAGAAGATAGAAGGTTGGGGAAAACTAGACAAAAAACATTGAATACAGATTGACAGTTGGCAGATAGGGAAGAAGGAAGGAAACAGTTAGACCATCCTTTAGAGATATATTGCTATCTCGTAAGATTATATATAATATATATATTAGATCAGTGCTCAATGACGTTAGTGAGATGTCTTTTTCTGCAGGTTAACGGTGAGATGTCGCTGTCTGAAAACATTGCCGATGTCATTGGAGTCGAAGAGGCTTACAAAGTAAAGCAACCGGTCTAATATACAATATGTAGGATGTTTTCACTTGGAATATTATATGAAATTATGATGCTATCTCTTGCAGGCGTACCATCGTTTTATTCACACTAATGGAGGAGAAACTCGTTTGCCTGGAACGATATTCACCAACGATCAAGTATTCTTCTTAAGCTACGCAAGGGTAGGCTTAAACAATTAGAATATGGAATGGATGRTGATAAATAGTCTAGTGATTAATAATATTTTGAACATCATTCAGAACTGGTGCAGATTAAGTCATCCAGAACAAGCTATCTTTGAAGCTAACACTATATATGCCCCATCTCCATTCAGGTAACTATACCATCATCTACCTTTAATTAACTCAATGTCAATTCGTATTTAGTTTAAAACGATGGCTGACAGCGAGTGTGGTTCCCTTCGGAGTGTTTAAGATACTTAAAGATGATTCATATTAACATTACATGACAGGATATTTCTATACATCTTTCTTTCATCTTTTTTTCATCTTTCTTTCCTTCTATTTCTTGCAGAGTGAACGGACCTCTMAAAAACCTTCCCGCCTTTTCAAAAGCGTTCAATTGTCCTGTTGGCTCATTTATGAACCCAAAAAAGAAATGCTCAATGTGGTAGATCTAGGAGACAATAAATGCTGAGAACTTCAAGGAAAAACCCTGGCAAATTAGAATGATGTTTATTATTTTGYTCATGATTCTTGTGAGATCAGTCATACAGACGTTCATATGTTGTTCGCAGTAGTGAAATTTCCAACAGTTTTGTGGAACTGATAAAATAGGAAATTCAAAGTACGTGTTCAATATGGGTATTATATATAGGACCTCTGTAGATAACTTGGCACCTACTCCTTTAGACCGCTGTCAGGGGGGTGCATGGTGGTGTTAAGCACATGATGTTGACCATGGCCCTGCACATACAGGATTTAGATAGTTTTTTTATGATTCGCTTTTATGAACGATTACAAATTTAAGGATGAACGGAGATAATGACTAGATGCAGCTAGTGTACAGCGAAAACTCGAATATTTATTTTATATCAATTGTAGCAGTCAAGAATATGTATTTAATATTGGTATATCATGTTGGGCTTTGAGAAAATTATTCTTTAGGGTGAGGGGGAGGGGATCTTTTGTAACAAGTGAACGATCGATTCATTGTAACATAAGAAATAAAACTATAAAAAACTCATAAATATTGAGTGGTGATATTTTTCTACTCATCGACCTTGCAAAACTTAAAAATGTAGATTTAATTTGAACCTTGAGAATTGTAATGTCATATATTATCAAAGGGTAGGGWGAAAAACAAAACAACGCCACTCGCTAATGTTCACTGATTACTCTCTCGGTAGCTCTACATTCCTCAATAAATTAAAAGTATACTAAGAAAATATTAAAACAAAATTGTAGTTAGAGATACAATAAACAGAGGATAATACGCACTAGGTTTAAATTAATAAAACATAGAGGCAATGTTGCTTCGTGTTGCCATTGGAGACACTCGCCACATTTACCGCAAATAATGAGTATTGGACAAAAAAAGGAAAAGAGAAGAATACAGTAAAGAGATTTTATACGCTTTGAATATTGGGCCAACTAAACACCGCACTTCAAAACTTTTCACTTATCGGTCTTCAAGATAGTTAAAGGTGAGCTTTTAGAGTAGTACACTAGGAATTGATCATTGTTTTTCGTTTAGTGAGRATTAACCTTTAAGTTTTCGAACTAGAAAGTAAAGGCACTATTTTGTGATGCGCTCAAAAGTAAATATTATAGAGGCGTTTTCTAAACTTTTTGTTTTTCCCATGTGATATTTCAGCTACAGAAGGCGTGTCATGGTCGTATGAGAACCACAATTTTGTAGTGTTCTAGAAGTATACTGAAACATAGAACGAGCCTAAAACATTRTACGTCATCAATTATTTACAAAAATGAACACGGACAGCTTTTCACTAGTAACAGACATGATGAACTCATTCATCCTAACTATTGACAATTCTTGTAGTCTTCATGATTGGGAAATTGTTAGGGAACTTATACTACTTTCCATTACGTAGACTTGAAATAACTATAAATATATTGTTAATCTAGTGAACAAAGCCGTAAGAATGGATAAAGGTATTTTTCGCATCAAGCTTGTAACAGCGGTGGTGTTGATGGGTTTCCTGTGCAAAGTTAACGTTCTGGGACAGACGACGACTATTCAACTTACAGCTTCACCAACGTTAACTGCTTCTTACAACATCAAYGCCTCAGTTAACAGCAATTTAACAGGTTGGGATTATGGTTGATTATTAATTGGCAGAGATCGACGTTTTAACAAGAACCACATTTTGAACTCACCAGCAATCTCTCTAATTTTATTTATATCTTCATCTAGGAAACTTCAGCAGCTCAATTCAACCAAACTTCACAACAATCATACCKTACGTAACACCATCTATTATCAGTCCAGTCTCTAACAACACAGCTACAGCAGAGAGTGAGTACTTGAGTAATAACCCGTCAAGAGTTAGAAAACGTTCATTTTAAACTAGGGATATTCCATTCTTGCAGATGTTTTCTTCATTGAGTTCAAGCTACTTTCGAAACAATGGAATGACGATCTCTCAAGAAAAAAGAGCGACGATTTCATTTTACTGTCTAATGAAGTCACAAAGGAGGTTGGAAATGACTGTACACATGTGATTAAGTCATGTTCTTACTTTCTGTTTATATTCCTAGATTAATAAAGTGTATGGACAGAATGATACTAACTTCAATGGAAGTCTAGTCCTGGGTTTTCGGTATGTATACCCCTGACACAATATTTAAGTATTATTTGCAATGGTTTTCATTGATTCCAGTCATGTATAAACAATAGTGGATGAATTATATAGTATACATGGGGTAGAATGAGCGGACATTTTCCGGTTAAGTAACTTCGACGGTAGCGCCAAATTCAAATGTCRAGCCTGGTTGAGTGAGCGCAGCGATTTACAAAGGGGGCCAAAATGTCAAAAAGCGTCGTATAAAAATTCAATTTTAGACAAACATAAAACTTAAATAAAAAACACACTCGGATTTTGTAGATAAAGGCTTGAACTGATATTTTCTACAAACGGAATGAAAATTGTAGGCATTTAATTTCMACGATCAAATCGCTCGCAAACTTGATTATTTTACGTCCATCTTACATCGGAACCGGGTGACACGATGTAGATTGATGTATGATTCATATATTCTTACGAATTCAAAACAAAAAAAAACAAAAWAAACTGAGGTTTTACTCTATTCATTAATTGACTTATCCTTACCAGTAACTCTTCCAGGGATGGTGTATATGTGACTATCAAGGTTGAATACAATCGTACAATGGTGGTGAACACGTCCTTTGTCGATCCACTCATTGATTTCTTCAGATCTGGAGGATCACGTGGTTTTGCTACTGACAGAGTGTTCTTTAAGATCAGCAAGCATGGTAAGAATGAGCTGTAAGGTGTCATATATTCATGATAATAACTCCTCTAAGACCAGTGTTCTAGGTGGGAATGTTTCCAACGGTATCTTGGAGAGGTAACCCGCATCCTTTACTTGCGTCGAAGCGATACAGCATTTGAACTCGCGCAATTTAGTCACCCGWGAATAATTGCCATTAAGGATGACGCTGGAAATAAAAAACAAAGTCATTTCAAGTACTGAATTGTATGGTAAAGCCAATGAATCTTTGTTTTCTTTTATTTCAGCTGATTGCATCATTACGTACGTGGAAACTAAATCCTGCCAATGTAAGACAAAGACGTACAAATTACAAATCAAATGCCACGAGCCTGACGTCATTGGAGGAGAACCGTGCCCACAAATATGTTACTCTGGTCAGCAGGTTGCTGGCATGCGCCCATGCTCCTGGGATGACTTGGATGCRTTTCTTTGTTCGTCTGGTGTTTGTCAGCCTAATATCATGCTTGCTTTAATAACATTTGTCTTAAATATGTATGTCTGCAATAAT